ACTTCAGAGAGACCAAGCTGGGAGTGTGTAAGACCCCAGAGAAACAATGATGCAAGAACAAAATGAGGTCAGGCATGCGAGAACTACCACGGAAGGGACACAGCGAAAGCCCTTGGAAAGCGAAATGAAAACTCAACGGAAGACCTCAGCCCAGTAAGGACAAACTCTCAGGCCAAGGCAACAGCGTCCAGAGACAGATCCGCTGGTAAACGGACAGTGACTCTTTGACAAATTAGCAAAAACAGTCAGAAGTGGAGCAAGGAAAAACCCCTTAAACAAATGGTGTTGGGATAACTGTTTGGTCACAGACAAACGAACAAAAAATTGAGTTCAGACCCCCTTTCTAACACCATGTGTAAAAGTAAAATCCAAATAGATTAAAGACCCTGATATCAGGCCTGAAACTGTAGATGATATTGAGAGAAACAAACATGAGTAAAACACTCCACTGAAGCTAAAGGTATCTTCAATGGTTCAAGGTGGTCACGCAAACGGAAGCGAAGATTAACAATGGGACCTCAAACGAAGAAGCCCTGGCAACAAAAAAGGAAAAAGGACCAGAATGAAAATAGTTCCAGGAGTACTTGCAATAGCGATTAGGCAAGAAAAAGATACTAAGGGCATCCAGGTAGGAAAGGAAGAAATCAAGCTCTCACTATTCGCAGATGATATGTTACTATACTTAGAGAACCCAATAACCTCCACCAAAAAACTCCTAGAAACAATAGACTCGTATAGTAAAGTTGCAGGCTATAAAATCAATACCCAAAAGTCCATGGCTTTCCTATACGCAAACAGTGAGAGAGAAGAAAGCGACAGGAAAAAAACAATCCCGTTCACAATTGTGCCCCAGAAAATCAAGTACCTAGGAATCAGCTTAACTAGGGAAGTAAAGGACCTGTACAAAGAAAACTACAAAACGCTACTTCAGGAAATAAAAGAGGACATGAGGAAATGGAAAGATATCCCCTGCTCATGGGTCGGGAGACTTAACATTGTCAAAATGGCAATACTACCGAAAGCATTGTATAAATTCAATGCAATCCCTATAAGGATACCCATGACATTCTTCAAAGAAATGGAAAAAACACTCCTGAAATTTATATGGAACAATAAGCCCCCACGAATAGCTAAAGCAATTCTTGGGAAAAAGAAAATGGGAGGAATCAACCTCCCAAACTTCAAACTGTACTACAAAGCAGTAATAATTAAAACAGCATGGTACTGGAACAAAGGCAGAACTGCAGACCAATGGAACAGAGTTGAATACACTGACATCTCCCCTCAATCATATGATCATCTAATCTTTGATAAAGGTGCAAGAAATGTGAAGTGGAGTAAGGAAAGCCTCTTTAACAAATTGTGCTGGCATCACTGGACGGCTACATGCAAAAAAATGGGCTCAGAACTCTGCCTAACACCATGTACAAAAGTAAGATCAAAATGGATTAAAGACCTCAACATCAGACCAGAAACCATAAGGTACATTGAAGACAATGTTGGCAAAACCCTCCATGACATTGAAGCTAATGGTATCTTCAAAGATGCCACGCCACTGGCCGAGCAAGTGAAAACAGAGATAGATAAATGGGACTATATTAAACTAAGAAGCTTCTGCACCTCAAAAGAAACAGTGACCAAAATACAAAGACAGTCTACAGAATGGGAAAGGATATTCGCCGAATACACATCTGACAAGGGGTTGATATCCAGGATATACAAAATACTGGTTAAAATCCACAAGAAGAAAACATCCAACCCCATCCAAAAATGGGGCAATGAAATGAACAGAAACTTTCTCAAAGAAGAAATCCGAATGGCAAAAAAGCACATGAGAAAATGCTCTACATCATTAATCATCAGGGAGATGCAGATCAAAACCACAATGAGATACCATCTCACACCTCAGAGACTGGCCCACATTCAAAAGAACAAAAGCAACCGATGCTGGCGCGGATGTGGCGAGAAAGGGACACTCCTTCACTGTTGGTGGGAATGTTGACTGGTTCAGCCCTTCTGGAAAACAGTATGGACGATTCTCAAAAAATTAGAAATTGAGCTCCCATTTGACCCAGCAATATCACTCCTGGGAATATATCCCAGAGAGGCAAAAAAGTATAGTCGAAGTGACATCTGCACTTGTTTGTTCATTGCAGCACTCTTTACAATAGCCAGAAACTGGAAGAAACCTGAATGTCCAAGAACAAATGACTGGTTAAAGAAACTTTGGTACATCTACACAATGGAGTACTATGTAGCTCTTAGAAAAGATGAAGTCATGAAATTTACATACAAGTGGTACAACATGGAAAGTATCATGCTAAGCGAAATGAGTCAGAAAGAGAGGGATAGACATAGAAAGATTGCATTCATCTGGGGGATATAAAGTAACAAAATATGAGATTAATACCCAAGAATAGCTGAGATCAGCACCAGGAGGATTACTCCATAGCTTAGTGGCCAGTCGGGCATTCTAGAGGAAAGGGCAGCTCAGATAGAGAAGGGAACACCAAATAAAGGGTGTTTGAAGGATCCTCCCAGGAGGGGAGATGCATGTCGAAAGTAGACTATGGACTGAACATGTTTGCCACTCAATGCCTCTTTTGCAGACCACAACACCCAAAAGGAGAGAGAGAACACAGGGGATTGCCCTGCCACAGAGGCAGGGGGGATGGGGAGATGGGAGTGGGGGGATATTATCCATGGTGGTGGAAAATGGGCACTGGTGGAGGGATGGGTATCTGATCATTGTATAATCGAAACCCAAGCACAAAAAATTGTAAATCTACAACTTACCTCATGGTGTTTCACTAATAAAAAAAAAATTTTTTTTAACAAGTTCCAGGGATGAATACTGAGAGGGTATTTACCCACCACTCACGTGATAAAGAATTACTATGCTACGTAAATAAAGCAGTGGCGTAACTTTACAAGAAACAACCGACAAAAAATAAACGGGGGGAACAAGATGCACAGAAACTTGCTCCAAAAAGACGCACAGAGGCCAAAAGGTGTATGGAAAATGCCTCGTCACTTATCATCAGGGAAATGCAAATCAGAACAACACTGAGATGCCACCTGACACCACGGAGACTGGTACATGACAGAGAGAACAAAAATAACCAGTGCTGACGTGGAGGTGGGCAACAGGGGACCCTCACTCGCTGTTGGTAGGATGTGGACGGCCCAGCCCTTTTGGAAAACAATATTGTTACTCTTTGGATAACTCAGACTCAAGCTCCCATCTGACCCAGAAATCCCACTTTGTGGCATCTACTGCAGGGGTCCCAAAACTCCATCCAGAAACAACCGCCCAAGTCCAGAAACAACCCAAGCACCCAGGAACAGATGAGTGGACAGAGGAACTATGGCCTACTTTAGTAACGAAAAAGGGCATGTAGAGGTCTGGCAAAGCTTCCTCCTGAGCCGGCGTGAGGCCGCCAGCTGGACCTCCAGTGCTGGCCGCGGGCAACTGAGCGATTCAGGGGTCGGTCACTCTGTGGTCTGGGGTCCCCGGGACAACAGCAGAGCATGGGACCATCCAGGACGCCACCAGTCGGGGTGAAAATGGCTCACCAAGTGCGCTGCCAAACCAAGTACCAAGACTCGGCACCAAGCTGTGCGAACACCACGCCAGGAGCACAGACCCGGGGGTGGCTGCCCGGATGTCACCCCAGCCCCCAGCATCCTCAGTCACCTCAATGACCAAGGGAGAGGCTGGGGAGAGGCGGGGGCGAGGACAGGGGCAGGCATCCATCTTCGGTTTTCCTCAGGAAATGACAGGCGGGGGAGGACCCGGGCAGAGTCTGGGAGCACTGTGGAAGAGCACACAGCCAGCTGTGGTCCCCGTGGGTCCTCCCCTTCCTCCCTCCCCACACTCCCGGCCATCTGCACACCCACACAATGCAGTTTGGTGTCCTCCAAGACACATTCTCCTGGCAGGACTGACGTACAGAGGTACTGGCCAAACCAACGCGAGCAGCCAGGCCCTGTTCTGAGTCTCCACCTCGGGCAGTTCATCACCCACCCACCTACCGCCCAGGCTGTGATTAAATACAAGCACACTTTTTTACAAAACTTGGGAAATAGATAACTCTTCCATAAATTGTCTAAAAACAAAACAGAAAAAGTGGCTTTGGGCTGGAGCCATAGCACAGGGGGCAGGGCACTAGCCTTGCACATGGCCGAGCCTGGTTCGATCCCCGGCACCCTGTAAGGTCCGCGAAGCCCAGCAGCAGTGACCCCTGAGCACAGAGCCAGGAGCAACCCTGAGCACTATCACAACCAAAAACGAAGTACAGTTCTGCCCGAGGGGTGTAGCCCAGGGCCCGCCGGCACGTGTGACCCCCAGCGAGCCCCACAATCGAGCATGTGGGCACCCCCTACCCGTGACAGGGCATTGGCACAGCAGTCGCAGAGGGAAGGGGAGAATGAGGACACATGCCGAAACGCTTTCCACAGCGGCGGCGGCGGCAGCAAAGCCAGGACAAACTCCAGGAGGCTCTGCCTGGCCGGAGCCAAGCCCTGCATGCAGATGGTCCCACGCAGCGGGTCCCTGAGTGGCGCACCCAGAGGCCTCAGGAAAAGCCGGGACCCACACACAGCCCGGAGGAGCGGTGGGGAGTGGGGAGAAGCAGGGGGAATGGGATCAGGCACTGGTGGGACCCCAACATCCTGGGATGGGGGTGGCCACCCAGCAGCCACATACAGGGTCTTCTGTCCAGAAGAAGGACCGGACAAGTCACCACCTGGAACCCGAGGCCAGGATGAGCATAGCCGGGGGGACCCCAAGTGAGACGCACTGGCTCAAGGGGGGGGCACACAGCCCCACAGCACCCGCTGCTGTCCCCCTGCCTGTAGTCGGAGCAGGGGTGGGGCGCAAGGGCCCCGACTCCGCCGCTTAGGGCCCCGGCGTCACTGTCAAAACTCAAGTCCAGGGCCCAGCGGGGACAATCCCGCCAGCAGGCAGGCACAAAGCAGGGCCCATGCCTGGGGCTCACCCAGGTTGGGGTCGATGGCCTGCCGCTTCTTGAGCTTGGCCTCGGAGACGGCTGAGTAGTAGGCGCAGGTCATCTTGATCAGCCACGTGGCCCGCACCACGGGCACCGAGTACCTGGCCAAGTACACGAACACATCTTCCTTTTTGCTCAGGATGGGAACCTGGAAAGGAAGAACAGGCGAGGGTCATCGCGGGTTCCGTCCGTCCCTTGGCCCCTACAGGGAAAGGTCCTAGCAGTATCCGCGGGCGAGGAGGAAGAGGAGCTTTGGGGGGTCTGAGAGACAATATAGAGATGAACGGGGCCGCCTTGCCTTCAAGCAGAGACCCAGGTTTGATCCCCGAGACCACATACGATCCCCTGAGCACAGCCAGGAGTAACCCCTGAGCACCACCAGAAGTAAGCCCTGAACACAGCTGGGTGTGGCCCAACTTCCTTCCAAAGGCCCCAGATTTGCAGCTTTTGGGGTAACATAGCTCCATGGTACAGCATGTGCTCTCCACATCTAAAGTTCTGAGTTCAAGCTCCAGTTTTTTTTTTTTTTAAAGAACGCATTGCTTTTTTTTGTTGTTGTAGATGTTTTTGTTTTGTTTTGTTTTTTAGCTTATTGGGTCACACCTGGCAATGCTCAGGGGTTCCTCCTGGCTCTGCACTCAGGAATTACTCCTGGCGGTGCTCGGGGGACCCTGTGGGATGCTGGGAATCGAACCCACATGCAAGGCAAACGCCCTAACCACTGTGCTATCACTCCAGCCCCATGTACTGCTTTTTGATAGATTTCTAAAGAGTACACATTTTCCTAAGAAACATTTTCATCCGGGGTGTTTAGGGGCGAAAGGCCCAAGAGCAAGAGTACAGGGATTAATGGCCTTTAATTAATTACGGGAACTTAATGGCACATATGACTAATCATGCATTTCATCTCACATATGACTAATCATTCAGTGTTCCAGATGGAACCCAGAGCAGAGGCACAGCCACCGAGTGCAACCCAGCACCCACAAATACGTAAGGACACACCTAAACACGTCACTGTCACTGTCACTGTCCCCCCGTTGTTCATCGATTTGCTCGAGCGGGCCCAGTAACGTCTCTATCATGAGACTTGTTGTTACTGTGTTAGGCATATCGAATACGTCACGGGGAGCTTGCCAGGCTTTGCCGTGCCGGCGAGATACTCTCGGTAGCTTGCCGGGCTCTCTAGAGAGGGGCGGAGAAATCGAACCCAGCTCGTCCGGGCTGGCTGCGCGCACGGCAAACACCCTACCGCTGTGCTATCGCTCCAGCCCAAGAATCCAAGCCTAAGGAAGCTGGGCAGGCCGAGTGCTGTAGCCCCCAGGAGGTCCGGGTTTCATCCCTACAGCAACAGGATCCCTGCGACACGTAGCCAGGGAACGCCCCTGAGCCTGGCAGCCTCCAGCCTCCAACGCAGCTCACAAGAGGCAATCTCCAGAAAGCTGCAATTTTAAAAGAGGCTGAAAAAGGACGGCGAGTTGGCGATGCCGAACGAACACTGGCTGGAGAGGGAGGGGCGCTCATTTACTCAGGGGTTACGAGCAGGCACGGGGGGGGGGGGGCAGCGAATTCACCCTCCCGGGCTGCAAAGGTGCCACTGGGCCCATCTGAACCCCAGCGTTCCACACCATGCTTTGAAAGGGTGAACTCCACTTTTCCACAGTTCTCTGGGAGGAAGAAATAGGCCGGCTGCGCCCCTCTACCGAGAGGAATGCCTGCCAAGCCCCAGGGCTGGCTGCTCCCACCCCCACTATTCGGGGGTCATCTCTCCAGTCCTGGTCATTTTGCCCAGAAGTGGAATTATATCAAACGCCCACGCCCCCCCGTGGAATTATATCAAACACCCGCCCCCCCCCCGTGGAATTATATCAAACACCCGCCCCCCCCGTGGAATTATATCAAACGCCCGCCCCCCCCCCCCCGCACTCTCCAAGCAGGGAAGGCAGAGTCAGAGGCATCAGGATGATGGAAATGTTGATTGTTCTGTGGCCACAAAGGTTTCAAAGATTTCCCCATAGAGCCAAAGTGTTTTCAAACCATAGCTCTGACCAGCTACAGAGCATGCTGGACACCATGGTCAGCGCCTCCCAAATCTCGCTGGCTCTGCCCTGGGGAGCCGGACTTCAGAGCTGCTCGCCAGCTCCTGTCCCTGTCTTGCTTGGTATTTTTTTTTATTTTGTTTTGGTTTTGGGCCATACCTGGTGGTGCTCAGGGCTGACTCATGGCTCTGCACTCAGGAAGCACCCCTGGCGGTGCTCAGGGGACCATGTGGGGTGCTGGGAATCGAACCCGGGTCAATGGAGTGCAAGGCAGACGCCCTCCCCGCTGTGCTATTGCTCAGGCACCCTTGGTCCTTTTCTCCTGACGAGCCAAGCCCCCACCTCCCGGCCGTGGTATTTCTATGACAGCCGTGGGTCTCAGAAACACGAGGACGGGCTCTAGTGGCACTAACAGAGGATCCCAGAATTTATGGCGCGGAGTTTTCTGCCCGGCCCTTTCAAAAGAGCTTTTTCACCTGCCAAACTCCAAGCTGTTCCGAGGTTGAAATAAAGGCAGCCCAGTCTGTGTCGTTGATGCCCTGGGCCCACGCCCTTTATTTCACAGGCTCATGGAACTGTAGGACATGTCCTCCCCACCCCCTACCCCCCGGCCCCCATGGCGGAGACAAGGTTCCCACAGAAACAGAACCAGAGGGAGCTCCATGCAGCAGAGGCCAAAGCTATGCCACCGCCTCCATGCAGACCTCAGGGCTACACTCTAACAAGGACGTTTCCCGAGAATAAACCTGCGAGGCACGGCTTTCCCGGAGCACCAGGCTTCTGGGTTGATGGACAACCAGTGAACCCAGGACTGAGGCAAGCACAGGCTTAAATAATCAGTCAAGAGGCCACTTTCCTCGGGGACACAGTGGAAAGGATCAGGGTCACAGCTGAGCTGCGAAGGTCAAGTTCCCTCTCCTTGGGCCTTATCAAAAGACAGTCACATCAAAGCCTCCCAAAGAGGCAAATGCAAAAAAGAGAAAGAGCCTCTCAAAGGCACATTATTAATAGTACCTTTTATGGCCGCCCAAGGATTTCTTTTTGAACAGCAATGACAGGAGAGGAGGGAGAAAATTCTAGAACACGGGAAATGTTTCGTGAACAGACAAGTGAGCCACAGTTCATGCCAGGCAAAGCTTGCGTCCTTGGGCCCGACTGGGAGAGTCGTGAAGGGCCAGGGTGCCTTCTCCCAGGACTTTAGAATTCAGATAAAGGCAGAATTCAGAGCAGTACACACAAAGGAAGTGAGGGTGCAGGAAGGGGTCACGGGCTGATGGTCTGGGCCAACCAGGACACGGGCGCTGACTCAGGACAGACCTTCAAGTGACGGTTCCGGGCGGCCAAGAACCCCTGGGGCTGTACCCGTGGCCACGCCTGGAGGTTGGGGGCGCGGCTGTTCGGTTCCTCAATCAGTCACCGCTGCCTCAGAGAACCCCAGGGGGGCTGGAGCGATAGCACAGCAGGGAGGGCGTTTGCAGCATCCCATAGGGTCCCCCAAGCACCGCCAGGAGTAACTCCCGAGTGCAGGAGCAGGAGTAACCCCTGTGCATCGGCAGTGTGACCCCCCCAAAAAGAAAAAGACCAGAACCCCCAGGGAACCAGCAGATGGAGGATACACCAGCTTTCCAGCCACACAAACCTCACCCCTGTCCCAGTCAAGTCACCAAGACAGTATGTCGGGCTATCGCTGTACAAAGAGAGACAGGACAACAGGCCACGCAGCTGAGCTGGTTCCATCCCTGGTACCACATACGGTCCCCCAGGCACCACCAAGAATGATCCCTGGGCGCAGAGCCAGGAAGCAAGTTTGGGGCATGGCCGGGTGTGGCCCCAGAAGACAAACCTGGAGCAACACTGTGACACCACGAAGCCGTCCCCCAGTCCCTGCTCGGGAAGTGACAGGACACCCCGAGGATGGGGCGGGGCAGGCTGGTACGCTCCTGGTCCACACGCAGCCACAACCCAGGCCACTCCCGGCAGCTAGGTACTTTGAGGGCCGGGGAGCTTTGGAGAAATACAAGCCCGGGTCCAGCAACCTCATCTGGCCCGTACGGGAAACTATTTTGAACTCCAGACTTGGGCCATCTGATGACTCAGGGTCTCGGCAGGGGACAGGGACGAGGTTTTCTGGCCTTACGTCATCTCAACAGATGAACACCAGGGACGAGGGGAGTAGCCGAACTCTTAAGCTGAGCAAGGCGCAGGGAATGCTGGCTCCATGATCAGGGACCGGGGGGGGGGGGGGGGGGGGGGGGAAGGAGGGAGAGGGGAGAGAGGAGAGGTAGAGAGAGATAGAGAGAGAGGGAGAAAGAGAGGGAGGGGGAAGAAAGAGAGAAACAGAGACAGAGAGATAGAGACAGAGAGAGAGAGGGAGAGAGGGAGAGAGAGGGAGGGAGGGAAGGAGAGGGGAGAGGGGAGAGAGAGAAAGGAGAAAGGGAGAGGGAGGGGGAGAGAGAGAGAGATGGAAGGAGAGGGGAGAGAGGAGAGAGAGAGAGGAGAAAGGGAGAGGGAGGGCGGAGAGAGAGAGAGGAGAGAGAGAGAGAGAGAGAGAGATGGGCAAGACATGGTACCACATCCAGTGTCCCAAGTACAGAGCTGAAAGAAGCCTCCAACTCTGCTGGGTGTGATGGGGAGGAGGGAGGAGAGGAGAGGGGAGGGCAGGGCAGGGAAGGGGAGGGGAGGGAAAGCGAGTGGTTCCAGATGCAAGTCCGTGGCCTTATAAACAGAGCATCCTGGGCTGGAGAGAGAGAGAGAGACGGGGCATGAAGGCACTCGTCTTGCACGCAACTGCCCTGGTTTCACCCCAATTCGGTCCCCAGCACCCCATATGGTCGCCCGGCAAGCCAGGTACATAGCATGGTCCTGGAGGACCCCTAAGTATCTCCAGTGTCAGCCTGGGGGCCCCCCAAGCCCCAAGGGGGCAGCCTGGTACCACAGGGACATCGTGGCACTGGAACCTTACGCCAAGCAGCTGGCACGGCTGGCCGAGAACAGCCAGGCACACCGCACAGGAGGGAACGGGAGGGAACGTGGACCGGAGGAAACGCTCGGCCCGGAAGGGAAACGCCTGGGAAGAGAAACGCTGAGGGTTCGACCAGCTTGGCAGAACCTCCTCGAGGAGCCCCGGCCACCAGGACCCCGGAAATCCACCAGGGGCAACCCTGCACCGTGAGGCCAGGGAGAATAAGGCCATAGGAGCAAGAGGCGATTTTCAGAGTTGCTTCAGGAAGCCAGCAAGCAAATTCACAAAGGAGCTCGCCTTCACCATGGATTCGGACCACACTGACGAACGCAAGCTTCAAAGCGGGGGTTCTGGGGAGGGTCCCCTGGACCACAAAAGGGTTTCCCAGGAAGGCGAGCAAAGACCTGAGCGAGTCCCCAGGAAGGCGTGTGGCATCAGAGGTCAAGACCAAGGAAGGTTCTAGTTCTCTAGATTCAAAGGCATCTTATGACATTTGCTGTATTATGGGGGGCTGGGGGTGGGGAGAAGGGTTGGGCCACACCATCCAGTGCTCGGGGGCTATTCCTGGCTCTCTGCTCGGGAGTGACCCCTGGCAGTGTTCAGGGAAATTTGGAGCCGGGTTTGGTGGGATGCAGGGCAAGGAGCAGCCTAACCCGGCGTTACCTCTCCAGCCCAACGGCTAATAATATTGGAACAGCAGGAAAGACCGCTCCATGAAACGCAGACTGTTTTCCATTTGAGCAAAATGATCAAAAACAAAGAACTTTAAAAAGCTCCTGCCTACACGTCTCTAGACCCCTTAGGAAAGCTGGGAGCAGGCTGAGGAGAGAGTTAAGGTGTTTGTCTTGCCCGTGGCTGACCGGGGCTCAGTCCCTGGGGCACTGCGTGTGGTCCCTCAAGCAGGAGAGATCCCTGAGCACACGCGGTGTGCTCAAAACAATGCAAAAACCCGGGAGGCTCTGAATAAATGTGCCTATTCAGTTAAAAAAAAAAAAGAAAAAAAAAGAAAGACAAACTTGCAAATAAGTTGTCCACGCACACAAACAACTATAGTCTCTCTCTCTTTTTTTTTCCCCTGGCTGGACGGAAGGAGAACTTAGCTGCGGGACTTGGCGTTTAAAGACAAGGAAATGATAGCAAGGCAAGAATTTCTGGACTAGAGAGATAAGACAGCAAGACAGGACGGGGGAGGCCACCTGTCTTGCATGTGGCCAAGCGGGTTTCATCCCTGGCACTGCACAGAGTCCCCCACGCACAACCAGAAGTGACCGCTGGGCACAGAACCAGAAGTAGCTTCTATGACCCGACAGGTGTGGCCCAAACTCCCTCGCATCCACCCACCCCCAATATAAAAAAGAAAGCAAAAAATTCTGTAACACAGTTGGGCCTCCCAGCTAAGAAAACAAAGTGTGACGGGCAGAAAAAGAAAAGCCAGAGTCTGCCCAGGGCCGCAGATGGCGGCCTCTGTATGTCATGATTTAGTTTCTCGAGGGTCTGAGGTCCAGAGTGGTGGGAACACACAGGCCATCAACCTAAGCAAGGGGCCAACCACTCAGGCTGGGCGTCTGGGAGAAGAACCGGGAAAATCTTTAGCTAAACCTCCTTTCAAGATCTTCCTCTCTTGGGGGCCCGAGTGATAGCACAGCGGATAGGGAGTTTGCCTTGCACGAAGCCGACCCAGGTTTGATTGATCCCCAGCATCCCATATGGTCCCCTGAGCGTCGTCTGGAGTAATTCCTGAGTGCAGTACCAGGAGTAACCCCTGTGCATTGCCGGTTGTGACCCAAAAAGCAAAAAGTAAAATAAAAAACAAAAAACAAAAAAAAAACTTTCTCTCTGGCAGGACAAAATGAAAATAACATAAGAAACACTTAATACCTTTTTTGCCAGAATCACGAGCGGCTTGTTTCCTGCTAAGTCAGAGAACCAGCTATGGATGGCACTCTGAGAGCGGGCAGTGACCAGCCAGTAATTGTCTTTCGCATTAACTTGGGGTTTCTTCCTTCCGGTGTCCTGGAAAGTGTTCAGCTTTAGTTTCTCGGCTAAAATGCTGCTAAAATAAGCTCCAATCTGTGGAGAGAAGAGGGGAGGAGGAAGAAGCGAAAGGTGAACGGAGAGAAGGGTGCTGGCAAGGTACCCCCGTATTTTAATCTGTTTGAGTTACAAACCTAGAGCGATAGCACAGCGGTAGGGTGTTTGTCTTACGCGCAGCCAGCCCAGCCGAGCTGGGTTCGATCCTTCTGCCCCTCTCGGAGAGCCTGGCAAGCTACCAAGAGTATCTCGCTACCCACTCAATATGCCAAACACAGTAACAAGTCTCAAAATGAAGACGTTACTGGGCCTGCTCAAGCAAATCGATGAACAGCGGGAGGACAGTGAGTTACAAATCGTCAAGCCAGCCCAACAGAAATCAAGAGACCAGCCGAGGCATCCGGATTGCTGGCCGCTTACACACTGCGAAACCTCCCACACCACCGCAATTACATTCCGCTGGTAGTGATGGCGGTGATTAGTCTAATCCTTTTTATTTTATTGATTTGGGGACCGGGCACGCTCAGGGGGAATGTGAGGTAGCCAGGAACAAACCCAGGGCTCCTGCGGGCAAACCTGCCCTCCGGCGATTCCCTCGGTCTCCTGGTTCTGCGATAAACAAGGGTCCAAGGGAAAGAGAAGAGCCTTGGAAAATCTCTGGCAAGGTGCAATTAATTACACCCCGAATAAATGACAAGAGCAGCGGCTGTCACCTGCCGCTGTCACCGCCAGCGATGCTGGATCTCTCCTTGCAGGCCCCTTCAGAGAGAGGAGTTCTCTCCCGAGAGGTGCATCCCGAACAGAATGCCTGGTGATCACCCAGCAGTCGCTTTTCCTCTTGTTTCATCTTAATAGCGCGTATTTTTGGAAAGGAAACTCTGTATTTATACTCAGCGCTTCCGCAAAAAAAGAGTCTGGAGAAATTCGATTCATTTAAATTGGCAAATCACAAAAGGTTCAATTAAGTTAAGTGTTCCACGGTCTCGGATTGGGCAGCTGCTTGCGGGCGCAGGTGCGGTTCCAGAGCAGGCCGGAGTGGCCCGTTCCGGGCGGTGCGAGCAGCCCCGGGAGCCTCTGGGAGTGACTTGGATCATTTTAGAGCCGGGAAATTCAGAGAGGGCTGAGGACGGGGAAAGGTACCCGGAGGATGAGGATAAAGCAAGACCCCCAAGTTAAGTGGTTATGGGACTGGAGTGACAAGACCGTGGGCTGGGCACCTGCCTTGCACGTGGCCCACCCAGCTTCAATCCCTGGCATCCCAGATGGTCCCTGAGCCCAGCCAGGGTTGTAATTTGGGGTGTCATTAATTTCACCTTGCCAGAGATTTTCCAAGGCTCAGCCAGAATTAAGCCCTGAGCGCAGATGGGGGAGCCCCCCCAAAAAATGTTTTGATGAATATACAGAAAGCTGAAGTTAATTTTTTAAATTAATCTTTATTTTTAAAAGCCATGATTTCCAAAGTTGTTCATAATACAGCCGTTTCAAGAAGTTAGTGTTCCAACATCATCAGTGCGTCCTTCCCATCACCAATATCCCAGGTACCCTCCCAATCCTAACCTGCCCCCTTAGGCACATAATAAATTTACTTTATATTGCTTATTCCAACAAAACTGTAAAAAAAAATGGGCAAATGGAATGAGCAGAAAATAAATCAGTAAGAGCCCATTTGTGATTACTGTATTACTTCGACCTATGTAGCACTGCACTTTATGCAAATAAGAAAATCAAAACCATTTAGTTCAATACAATAAAATGCCTATTCTCATTTACATATGGAAGTTTTCAACTCTGGAATCTGAAGCATATTACGTCAAATTTTATTTTATATGTGGATCTCATTATGGGAATAATCATGTCTCATCTATCATTAATAAACTTTTAAAGCAATTCTATATTAATACATTTTGGAATATACATGGAATAGGTAAAGCCTACATACGTAAATTTCCCCCCAAATGTTTCATTCAACACTGCAGTTTACAAAGTTGTCCATGATAATTTGCTACAGGCATCCCGTATTCCAACACCAAACCCACCATCATTACATCCATCCACCGTTGTCTCCAGTTCTCTCAACTTGCCCCTTACACCAGCCCCCAAAACAGACCCTCAACAATTTATTTCATACTGCTTGCCATCAATAATTTTTCTAGCAGAGTGATCAAAAAATGTTCCCGTAGGAAAAAAGTTATTGCGAAGTGTTGTATCTCACCATGGAAATACATTGAGTCCTTGGATGAGAGATCGCTAAAACGTTGTTACAGGTGAAGCCTTCTGTGTTCATGCTTTTCTAATCCAGACTGGCTGCCTTCTGTGTTACCTCCCATCCAATCTGGGGCACGCCTCCTGCCCTATTAGTGGAGTGGAAACTGAGATGTCTCACAGCCACAAACGCGGCGCACACTCCCGGAAGCTCAGAATCTCTGCGGGGGTGGGACATCTGGAGTTACATTTATAACAGGGAGGTGGCTTTGGGGTGTGGGCGTGACTCTGCCAGGGCTTTCAGAAGTACTGAGAAGTGGGGGGGAGGCAGCCCCTCCCGACTCCAAGAAAAACCTCGAAAAACTCCAAGAAAAATGAGGTTTCTGTCACAACCCCGCATATCTGATTTTTTCAGCAGATTAGCTTCTGGGGGGTGAGGGGAGGCTCGGTCCCCAAACAACACAGTTCAGCCAGGGGCAGAGCAGCAAATTTGGAATGTGGGTATAATCAGCTTCCAGGGTCCTGTGTGAGCAGCCACTGGGCTGACCCACCCCCCTCTAGGGTGCCCGGGCAACTCAGCCATCTGCGGGTGTCCAGAGAAATTTTTCCAACTTGTTGATCTCTTGGGCTGGAGCGATAGCACAGCAGGTAGGGCCTGCATGCGGCTGACCCAGGTTCGATTCCTCCGCCCCTCTCGGAGAGCCCGGCAAGCTACCGAGAGTATCTCGCCCGCACGGCAAAGCCTGGCAAGCTCCCCGTGACGTATTCGATATGCCAGACACAGTAACAAGAAGTCTCACAATGGAGACAATACTCGGCCCGCTTGAGCAAACTGATGAGCAACGGGAGGAGAGTGACAGTGACAGTTTCTGGAGCAAGGCGGCAGACGAGCTTCCATGGTGGCGGCACTGGAGCTGAGGTGAATTTCCTTTGTGGGGGGCGTCAGGGGCACCACCGAAAGCAGGTTCAGGGGCTACCCCTGAATCTGCACTTAAGGGCCACTCCTGCTGGTGCTCAGGAAACCGTAAGTGGTGCCAGGGAGGGGCAGAGGCCTGTCAGATGCCAAGCAAGCACCTTAACCCCTGTACTGTCTACCTGGTTCCTGAATTTTCAAGGATTCTGTACCAAAGCATCTTGTTTGCTGACTCCTTAAACTGTGGGTCCTGATCCCATAAAGGGGCCCACAACAGAATGGAGCAAGAAGGGGATATGCCCCAGAGTTTCTGTTTTACAATAAATCTTTGACTTATTATCAGTAATTATTTTATTTGTACACCTCTTTTTCCTTATACAGGGCATGTGAAACTTTCTTGGTAGAAAAGGGGTTGAAGTGGGAAAGATTGGTGAAGCCCCTTCTCATTACGCGGCCCAGAAATGCCGTCATCAGAGGAGAGCGGTGCTTTCGAATAAATACCTCCAAGAAGGCTAGGAGACAGGGGTGACCACGATTAAAACAAAATACCTGGCCTGGCACAGCGAGAATTACTGCCTCCAGAATGCTCCTGAATCAGTGAAGAGTCAATAGGCTAGAACACGGTTAGGAGCAAGTAGCTCAGCTTAACAACCAGCGTGAAAAGCTAGTACGCCCCCTTTAAGTTTTCCAGTGTGAGCTCACATTTCTGGATTCTCAATGTGGTGAGAGAGCTCGGTGGGCTTCGAGCCTCCTTGGCACAGAGGGGGCCCAGGTTCGAACTCTGACTCCACGCCACCACCAGGAGTGACCCACAAGCACAGAGTCAGGTGTGGCCCCCAAACCAACCCCACCCCCCCCCACACACACATACACGCACACACGCACACACACGTGCACGCCACAAAACTAGAATGAACAGAATGGGGGGGAAATCTCTGGACTGAAGAAATAGTACTGGGATAAGGCACTTGTTTTGTGCTCAGCTCCCCTTGGTTCAATTCCTGGCATCACAAATGGACCCCCAAGCACTGCGAGGAGTGATCCCTGAGCACAAAACCAGAAGTAAGCCCTGCACACCACTAGACATAGTCCCAAAATGAAAGGGAAAAAGAAGTCTATAAGCTTTACTTTTTTTTTATTAGCGTTGTTAAATAACTTCAAGCAAATGTTGGAGGTATGTGCAAACAAATGCAAAAGCTTAACAGAACCAGCTGTTTCAAAAGACGCACCTTTGGGGCCAGAGCAATAGTACAGTGAGGAAGGCTCTTGCCTTGCACGCGGCCAGTCTGTGTTCTATCCCCAGCATCCCATACGGTCCACCGAGCACCGCCAGGAGTCATTCCTGAGTGCAGTGCCAGGTGGGACCCCCCCCAAAAAAGGAAAAATAAAAAGGATGCGCCCAATAATTGCAAATTGTTTCATTTTAAATTCCTCAAATGATATTTGGTCTTTTTTGTTGTCGTTTTGTTTGGGGGCCATACCAGTGGTGCTCAGGGGTCACTCCTAGTGGTGTTGAGGGGTCCATATGCGGTGCCAGGGATCAAATCAGGGTCGGTTCAATGCAAGGGAAGAGCCTTAACTGGCTCTGATATTTGGTCTTTACAGTACATGTACTAAACACCTACCATATAGATGGTATTCTATTTAAAAGATCTCTCGTAGCAATTAAGTATGATTTTTAATAACAGTAAACAGCAGCAGAGAAACAAAATAGACTGAGGAATCCGTTTCATAAGCACATACCCTTCTATGCATACAGGGAAAATGGCACGGGCTCCAAGCTTCCATTCCTAACAAACTTTGTGAACTGAAAGGCAAAAGCTCCCCACAAACAGCAGAGAAAATATTAGAAAAATTTTTTTAAATCAAAGAATAATCATAACATGTTCACATCACTGGTTCACATTATTCCGAAATTAAGAGC